TGTACATATAATACAGTTACATTTCCTAATAGCTCAATAATTTCTAGCTCATGCTGATACAGTCAATTCTGCCTTGTGTGACTTCTGTGTGCTTTGCCCTAGAACAAGCTGAGAAATGCACAACAATGAATTATTGTCCCCCGTGTACAGAAAAGAAGACGGAGGCTCAGAGACATTCAACTTGCCCAAGGTCACCCAGCTAAATGATGAAGGAGGGGTTTTAACAGGTCTGAAGGATCCCCCATATCACTAGGGACAGGGGGGACAGGATGTATAATCTAATGAGGGATAAAGATGCCTTCTCCAAGTTGCCCAAACGCTGTTGGTAAGAAACACTAGACCCTTGGTTGACTGTCCGTTGAGTTCATACACTGTACCTGCCAATATCTAAAACAAAACGACTTAGTGTAAAACTCATTAACCCCGTGCGTTTGTCATAAAGAGTTACTCGGGTTTTGTTTTGCGCGTGTCTACGTTTTAGGAAGATCTTTGGGGTTATTTTATTGAATCACTGTGTTAGACATATTGTATGAGATACTCATGGCCCCTAGTCAGAGCACAAAGCCTTCGATAAAAGTAATCAGAAGGGTTGGTTCCAGTCTTGCTCTTCAGAATTTGATTAAGTTTCACACTTACATATGAATTCTTTTTTGTGTGCTGCATTAGGAAGGTTGACTCGGAGTCAAACAAAAACTTCCCAGGGCTCTGGTTGTCTTCTCAGAATGCTCAGCGCTGTGAATGACCCTGGACTCGGGCTCCGTCCCAGAGCACCCAAAACTCGGCACCACACTATGCATGGAGGGAGGGCTCCTCTCTTCCCACCTGGCCCTACCTCCCCCAGCTGGGCAGAGCCTCCTCTTCTGACCTGCCGGGAGCACAATTCACACCTACGAAAAAGGCATTTTCCCCTCTGCTGCTGATTTCCTCCTTTGTAAAAAGGAGAGCCAGAGCCAGAGAATGCCTCTTCTCTCCTCTGGCCCCTGCGGTGGCAGAAGTCAGGCCAGGCGAGCCTGCCGAGCCTGCCGCCGGTCCCATTTGGGCTGGGTCCCTGTCCCCCGGCCCTGCCTGCTGAGCATATCCAGGCCAAAGCACACTGGAGAGTTCTCCCTCGGGTCTCTCCTCAGGAGCTGCCAAGTGTCATCGATTAAGACAAAAAAGAATAGTAAAGAATGGTCAGAGGATTTAGGGGCGGCTCTGTCTCCACTGTGCATGAGCCACGCAGCCATCTCCCTCCCGAGGGATTCCAGCCAAACGCTGACTGCGCACTCGTCCTATCAGGCCACAAACCCCTGCCAGCCGTGGGCACCTCCCGTGCAAAGCGGCTCCGCCAGCCCTGGGGTCTCACCCTGGAGCGGCAGCCAGTTCTTGAGTCAGGGCTTGGACAGCTCCAAGACTCTCCCGCTCCAGGCTCCTGCACGCTCCCACACCTCAGTCCCACAGACCACAACTGGCTTCCTCCTATCCCCACGTGTTCTCTTAGACCTCAAAGGGAAAACTAGAATATGGCAGGTAGATCCTGGAGGCCGTTCTTGGGCGACTGCCCCTTCTCCAGAGCCACAAAGCAGACAGGCAGGTGTCCTGCAGAAGATGAGACCCTGTGACCCCGAGGGGTTTTGGAGCAGACCCTCTATGTTCCCTGCATTACATATGTTGGGGGATGGTACTCCCAGCCAGAAGCCAGGCCTTCAGCCTCCACCCAGATTCTAAGTCTTGACATTCAAATCCATCCCTGTCCTCTACCCTCCCCTGGGGCCTCCCGTCTCCGTTGTTTTTCATGTGGTCCACCCTCCTCTCTCCAGCCCCTACCACAGTGGCCTTTCAGGAACCCAAACTGGATCACAGTGCTCACCTGCTAAGAGCTGGACAGCAAAAGCCTTTGAGATAGGTTCTGTCCTTACCAGGAGCGGCCTTGGCTGTGAACCCAGCCCTGTCTGTGGATCCAGTCTTATCTAGGCCCCTCCCCAGCAATCCCTGCACTCCAGCCCGCCACACATCTTGTCCTTTGTTACCAGAACATGCCATGCACTCGCAGCCTCTCCACCTTTGCACCTGCCGTTCTGTCTGCCCATCCTTCCAGCAAATTCCTGCTCATCCTTCAAGGTGCAGCTCAAAGGTCTACTCCTGCATGAAGCCCTCTCTAACCCACCTGTCTTAGCTCAGGCTGCCATCACCAAATACCACAGGAGGACTTAAACAACAGACATTAATTTTCTCACGGTTCTGGAGGCTGGAAGTCTGGGGTCAGGGTGCCAGCACGGTCAGGTTCTGGTGGGAGCTCTCTTCTTGGCTTACACCCTCTGCCTTCTCCCTGCCCTCACATGGCAGAGGGAGGAAGGGAGGCAGTGGGGGACAGAGAGAGAGAGAGAGAGAAATATCTCCTTCTTTTCCTCTTCTTATAAGGCCATGACTCCTATCAGATTAGGACCCCAACCTTACGACCTCCTAAAAACCGCATCTCAGAATACAGTCATACTGTATGAATGAATTTGGGGGGGGGGCACAATTTAGCCCAGGGTACCTCCCCAGACAAAGGTGGTTGCTGCCTCCCCTCAGAGCCCCGTATTCACCAGGGGAGGGTGTCCCTTTCTTAGAGCACCCCCATTCCTCATCCCCATTTGTGTCTCCTGAACTAAAGGACCAAGTGCTCTCTGCCCCGTCCCATCCCCTGCTCTTTTGGGGTCACCCCCTCTGTGGGAAGGCCACTGTCTCCTAGCAGACTTTGTGTGCTGACCTGTCTGTCTCCCCAGCTGTGCCGAGCTCTGAGAGGGCAGGGCCCCCTCTCACTCATCTGTGGGCACTGAGCAGGCCTCATGTGGAGAATTCTGGTTCCACTGTGGGAGGACCCGTGGGGTGCTGGGTGTGGGCCCCACTTGGTGCCTCTGCCCACCCCCCACCACCACCACCACACTCCCTTATTACAGAGGCCTTATTCCTCCCCAGCCCCAGAGCCTCTGCAGCATCCTCCTGTCCAAAGAGGAGACATTCTGGCTGCCTGTCCTGGCAACAGCAGCCCTGGGGGGCAGACCAGGTGTGCATACAGGCACGGGACACCTTCAGGAGCCTCTGCTTTCTTAATACCCTGCGACGGGGCCGTTAGTTTTTGCATCGCAGGAAAAAAATGAAAATTCCACTGAGCGTTTACAGGTTTCCCTCCAGGTCCCCACGGGGGCATGGTGCAGAAATGAGTCCTGCCTCTGGCCCAGAGAGCGGCTCTGGGCACACAAAAGTTATTTATTTAATATATTTACTTTTACTCCCAGGCCAAAAGCTTAAAATATCTCGCGTATGAGCTCTGGACCAAAAAAAAAAAAAAGAAGAAGAAGAAGAAGCAGTTGGGCCATTAATCATTGAGAATATTTTGAATAGGAACTTGATTAAAGCACAGTATGTGTTCCCCAGCCGAAGTTGCTTCTTTGCAGTGACCACAGTGGAAGCCTGGCCTCCCGGGGCCGGCTGTGCCTATGCGGGGCGCCTCTTCGAGGGCTCCCGGGCGGGCTCTGGCGCCTTGCCAGGCTTGGGAAGGCCGCAGGCCGAGAGGGGGTCTTGACCTGTGCAGCCCGGCTTTTCTCAAGCAGGCACACCTCCCACCGGCACCCAGGCGGTGTTGGGCTTCAGCGCACAAAGTCGTAAGGGGCGGTGGGGGCGACCTGCGGGCCCGGGAGGCCCCACGGGAGCCCGGCGGCGGCCCCCCGCCCCCACCCGCGATCCCGGGATAGAACCGCGAGGCGCCACGTGGCTGGGGAGACGCGCTGCCTTAAACCCCTTCCCCCGGCGGCAGTGAATGCGGAGGCGGCGGCCAAGGGGCACCCGGGCCTGGCCACCTTGTTCCCCAAGATCCCGGGAACCAAGAGCCCTTCGAACCATCGGCAGGGTTCTCCCAGTAGGTGCTCGGATTCTGGGACGCCCCGGCTCCCTTGGCACCCCCGTTCCCACCAGAATGGGCGGGGAGTGGGGGGAGACAGTGGATCCTGGTCCCGTTGACCGCCAACCCCGCTTTGGGATCGCCGTCCCGAGTCAAGTTCGCCCCCTCCCTCTATGCGCCCCACCTCGCCCCGGTACCCCAGCCCTGGAATCCAGCTGGGCCCGTCCCGCAGGAAAGAATTGGCGGCCCAGGGCCGGGTGGCAGCGCCAGCCCCGCGCGCCTAGCAGCCCTAGCGCTACGGCTAGGAGAAGTAATCAAAAAGAAAAAGTTTTCCAGCCCAAGCGGATGGACCGGCCGGGTGCTCCAAGCTCCCCCGCCGCAGCCGCCTCCCATTCCCTCCGCTCCTCGCAGGGTCCTAGCGCCCGGCGGTGCAGAGCCCGCGGGACCCCAGAGGACTGTGAGAGGCGGAGCGGGGGAGAGGTACTTCTGCGAGGAATCAGTGGGGTCGCCTGGAGATCAGAGATAAAGACGCAAAATCACCGCGCTCCAGCACGCTTCCCTCGGCCTCTCCGTGCCGCTGTGTGCACTGGGCCACACGTCCCAAACTGTTCCCTGCCTCCCACCCCCGGCTCCGGCCCCTTCTCCACGCCACCGCCTAGCAGAGACGCGGCTCCCGAACAGGACTAGTTCTAGCTTTTAAAGCGAGTCCGCGCCGCAGTAGCTCAGAGACCAAGACTGGCCCTCCACCAGCCCCCCGCCAGCTCGTCCTCCCCGGCCCCGCCCCGCCCCGCGCAGCGTCTGGGTGCTCCCGGACTCCCCGACCGTTGGCTGGAAGTGGGTGCCTTGGGGAAGCTAGAGGAGGGGGCCCAGTCACCGACCACGTGTGTGCGGGGGCGACAGCTCGGCCCAGGGTGGGGCATCGCGCGCGCGTCCGGGTCCGGCTGGCGGGGCAGGGGGTTAGTGGGCGTTGCGCCGGGGCCTCTCCCGGCCCGCGCCGCGCTCCGGCCCCACTCACCACCCCCTCCGGAAGGCAGGCGCTAAGACCCAGGAGGCGCCGCTCCGCCGTCGGACTCTAAAGGGCGACGCCCCCGGTATAAATGCTGGGCCCGCGCGGGCCTGGCCATTCGCGACCTGGAGCTGCGCGGGCGCGAGGGAGTTGGGGCTCCGGGTGGGCGGTGGCAGCATTGGCACCCCGCGCAGGCTGGAGGCCGCCGAGGCTCGCCATGCCGGGAGGACTGTAGCTCCCCCATGGAGTCGGCCGACTTCTACGAGGCGGAGCCGCGGCCCCCGATGAGCAGCCACCTCCAGAGTCCCCCGCACGCGCCCAGCAGCGCCGCCTTCGGCTTTCCCCGGGGCGCGGGCTCCGCGCAACCCCCCGCCCCACCTGCCGCCCCGGAGCCGCTGGGCGGCATCTGCGAACACGAGACGTCCATCGACATCAGCGCCTACATCGACCCGGCCGCCTTCAACGACGAGTTCCTGGCCGACCTGTTCCAGCACAGCCGGCAGCAGGAGAAGGCCAAGGCGGCCGCGGCCCCCGCAGGAGCCGGCGGCGGCGACTTTGACTACACGGGCGCCCCCGGGGGCCCCGGCGGCGCCGTGATGCCCGGAGGGGCTCACGGGCCCCCTCCTGGCTACGGCTGCGCGGCGGCCGGCTACCTGGACGGCAGGCTGGAGCCCCTGTACGAGCGCGTCGGGGCGCCGGCGCTGCGGCCGCTGGTGATCAAGCAGGAGCCGCGCGAGGAGGACGAGGCGAAGCAGCTGGCGCTGGCCGGCCTCTTCC